CATTTCTGATGAACTAACAGCCTTTTCACTACCTGAACAGCTTCTTTAACTTTTGGCTTGTTGTTGTGCACGTAGGCTCTGCATCTCACAGCACCTCTGAGATTTATGGAGCCACTGCAGACCTGGACTGTAGCTGTTGATCTACGACTTGAACCCTGGGTCTGAAAAATAAACATGTTTCAGTTTTATCTTGTTACCGAGGCACCTGCAGCACGAGTAGCAAAAAACAGACCTAGAAAATTAATAGCATACCTTAAGATGTTCACATATAACCTGTTTTCCCTCATGATTTATAACACTATTTAGTGGGTTGGGTTTTTTTTCAGTTTTCTTAAGACTGAAAATATCTCTCCCTTTCCATTATGGAAAATGTATTTACTTTTCCAGATGTTCTATTTCTTGCCATTTAAATATTTGTGTCTATAAGACTTCTAAAACTTTCCAGGCAAGTGGCTTGTGGCTAATATTAGAATTGCAATCTAGAAATTATTTTTTTTTACACAATGAAGTTTGTATGTTTACTATATAGTCAGCATAACCTACAGTATCCTGGGAGTCATCCCATCAGTCAGTGCTAAATGATATATGTGGTCACGTTTAGAACTGGATCCAACTGGTGCCTAGAAGTAGTCGCCCTAATTACCAAAACAATGAGTGTGTTGTGTGAAGCACTCCAAGACAACACCTGGGAACACAGGGATGCATAACTTCCACAAGAACTGCATAAACTCCTTCTGTCAAAATAAAAAGCTTTCCTTTCCCTGAAGTAATTAACCATTTGAACAAGGTAACAACAAAAGTTTGCTCCGGGGTGATCTTATAGCAGCCTTCCAGTACTTAAAGGGGGCCTACAGGAAAGCTGGAGAGGGACTTTTTACAAGGGCTTGTAGTGATAGGACAAGGAGCAATGGCTTTAAACCATTTAAACCAGGGGAGATTTAGATTAGATCTAAGGAAGAAATTTTTCACTCAGAGGGTGGTGAGGCACTGGAACAGGCTGCCCAGAGAAGTTGTGGCTGCCCCATCCCTGGAAGTGTTCAGGGCCAGGTTGGATGAGGCTTTGGGCAACCTGGTGTAGTGGAGGGTGTCCCTGCCCATGGCAGGGGGGTTGGAACCAGATGATCTTTGAGGTGCCTTCCAACCCAAACCATTCTGTGATTCTATAAAAGCTGAGATACTCATTGAGTCTTTAAAAAATGGCATTTTATACATTTCTAAAAGTTTTGCTCAACATAACTTCAGAGAAACCAGGAACTGCCTGACAGAACAGGACAGCCTGTGCTGTGCAAGAAACGAACGAAACAATGCCTGGACACATGTGGACTTCAGGACCTAGACTGGGGCACCTAATTCAGAGTTCAGGTCAGCATAACCTCCAGCAGAGAGGAAACTCCTGACACAGACCCGATGGCTCCAGGTTATGATTCAGCCTCCAGGATCGACACCTTAATGCAGAACTAGTGACTGAGCTTCTGACGAAAGCGTTCAAGTAAAGGTCCGTAACTAGCCACAGCAAGCTGAAACACGGGGGTCATTCTGAACTTCAGAACGATGCAAAGCCATCTTGAAACCCATGGATGCAGGTACATCCTACCATCAAATTCATGAGTTTGCAGGGTTTCATTTCTAGAACCAGTGTTTCAAATCCTCCTTGCAGCTGTACCGTGCAATCCTTAAGACATCATCATGGTTAATCACAGCACGAGAGTTTCCAAAGACACAAAATAGGCTCAACTGTCCACAGTTTCATATTCGACATCCACAGGGGAATAAAAAGTCTCAGGACAAAGTAAGCAGGATTTCTAGACAATAATTCAGAATGTTCTTTTATCTTTTATTCTATTTTAAAAGATAACAGCAAGGTTATACTTTACAAACCTCTAAATACTCACCAGCTGTGTCAGAACTTTGACATCAGAAAACTGAGTGCTGGATTGAGTATTTCCTCTTAACTTTTTCTGAGGGGAAAAAGAAAAATTATGTGTGTAATGAAACAGGAAAGAAATGCTCCCTGAATCAAAATCTCCCCGCTATGGCATAAAACACGCCCTAGTTTATAGCTTTTAAAAGAGAAAAATGGCACATAGAAAACAGCCGTGAGAATATAATTACAAAATTAAAAGGAGAGATGAATGCATCAGCCAGACACGTGTTTCCACTCCTTGTTAAACATTCAGACATACGTATGTCTTAGAAATCTCATCACCTACATTCACACCTTGCTCATGTTCTTTAATGAGGAGACAGCATATAGAAAAATTTTTAGTCAGGCTTCACATATAATTACTGTGTTCACGTTGCCAGAGGAAGAAGAGGCAATTTGCAGCAATGAAGATGGGAACACAAGCAGTCTTGTGCATTAGTTACCTGAAAGAGGCCAATTAGATCAACAAATACTGCACAGAAGACATCTCAGCAAACGCTTTATCACACCAGAGGTTCTAACTACACATCCATTAGAGTTCAGTTCTTTGGTGTTTGGTACTCACTTGCCCTTCCAGCAGTTCTGTATCGTCACCTTTAATTTGTCCATTGATCAGAAAAACACTCTCTTCTATTTGTTTTGACCATCGATTCAATCCATTCTTTAAAAAAAGGTGAAAACACAAAAATCTCGTAAGAAAAAGGAAAGAGAATTTCACTGAAAGAGTTGCACGGTATCATGCTGAAAATGATAGAAATACATGTTTCAACAGTTACTCTGAGAGAGTTTTACAGTCTCTGGAAAATCCATCTATGTGTTTTTCCAAAGTTAAATCTCAAAATCAACATGTTCAGAACATAGAATCATAGAATCATAGAATGGTTAGGGCCGGAAGGGACCTTCAAAGGTCATCTAGTCCAACCCCCCTGCAAGGAACAGGGATATCTCCAACTAGATCAGGTTGCTCAGGGCCTCGTCCAACCTGGCCTTGAACGTCTCCAGGGATGGAGCATCCATCACCTCTCTGGGCAACCTGTTCCAGTGTTCTACAACTCTCATGGTAAAAAATTTTTAGAAACAAGCCTTTCGAAATAATTCAGTGCTACCTCAAGGATTTCATTTTTGTAGAGAGGGATGCGGCCAATAAGTTAATTCACATTAAAAGCATCCCATACTCCTGTTCTACTTGGATGTAACCTTTCACTAGGTGAAGAAGAGGAGACTTTAGTTGGAATACTCACGACAACTGCTAAATAAGTTTGAGCAAAGGAAACTGCCAACACTAAGCCCAGCAGAAGAAGTGTTCTGCGCATTTTTTATACTACAAATGCTTCATAGTAACTTCAAATTGCATTTAAAAGAGGAATAACTGCCCAACGTTCTCTGCTGGTTAGTCCTACTCCTGTACTCACACTATTCAAATCTTTCTCTCTTATTTAACCTCCAACAGAAAAAGTAGTGTAGAGACAACTACCCAACTGATGCAGCCAGTTAGTTACCTTAGTATTCCTCTCCAAGTCACGGTTGGGTGAAGTAGCAAGAAGCGGAATGTGAATATTAACATTTACTGTGCAGTCCAAAGCTAACCAGGAAGCAGACAGAGCACTCTGATACTTCCAATCTGCCGGTTTGGCTGAACTCTGAGAGCAGAAATGAGCAACAGAGCATCGATGTGAAACGCTGTATAACCCAAGAGATCTTTTTCAAACATCACTCGTCGTGCATGAAAAGCTGTACACAACACACAGGATGAGAAGCTTACCTTTGGATCTTGTACGTCGTATGTCCGGCAAACTACTCTTTGCTACTTAAAGAAAAAGTGAAAAAAAGGGAAGTTTTTGCTCCAGTGAAGAGTAAAAACAAAACCAGTAAGAACAATTCGCAATTAACTTTGTCCTTAACTTCTCTGTTGAGCTAATTTATGCTCTGAAGAAAGTTCTCACCTTTCATTAGTGTAAAAAAGTGGAAAAACATTTGACTGTAAACTCCAACTACCATAGTGATGCTGTCCCATCTCTTACAAATATATTAAGATCAATAGTTATTCACAGGAAGAGTCGCCAATGCACCAATATGCAATTTGCCCTTGTCTCTCTCACCTTTCCAAGGAAAAATCTTGCCTTCTCTCCTCATATTATCTATCAACAGATCCAGAATTTTTCTGCACCACCAGTACAGATCCCACACGTCCATTACTTCCCCACTTCCAAGTAAGCATCATTAGTAACAGCAAGCTCAAGAAGCTACACAGTATTTTAGATGTTTTCTGCAATCTGTGCAAATCAAAACTGACTAGGAAAGGCACCATTTGATGCCACTACACACACAAACCTGACAGTAAGAGCTGATGGAAATTTTGCAAGGATCAGAGGGTCAAAAGCCTCACTCATGGCTAATCAGAAAACTTCATGATTTCGACTTACTGTTGAACTCAAATGACTTCCTCCCAGTTTACCATTTATTCAGAAATAACTACAGAAACGAGGCTAGGGGTAGCAGTCTCAACCAATACACCTTGCCCAGAAAGGATACTTCTTTGTAGCAGAACAAATTTGCAGAGCTGCTCGGTCTGACACCTCCTCCTCAGCAGGCTTCCAGAGTCGCCTTTTAGTCAAGGACTTCTCCACTGAGAAGATTAGCTAAAGATGAAAAAAATATTATAGATTTTCCCACAAAAATAATGCATTATAATTTCTGGAAAACAGTCTTGCCCTGAAGTTCTAAGTCAAAGTGGTATCATAATTATGCATAAATGGGAAATGCAGCTTACACGTCACCAGAATGTCATGTTAAAAGAACATACAACAAAGACTTTTAGGCAACTACTCCAAAGTAAAAGTTGCTTGGGAAATCTTAATTCAGCTTCCTTATAAACTGAATCAAGCAATACACATTCAACTTGTGTGCTTTTCTCCCTACAAAAACATTACAGCTTTACACCTATTCATTCAGGATGGGAAAGACGCTGTGTGAAATGGCTACCAACTGAAAAAAAGAAAATTAATTCAAGAGCCACTGATCACCTGGACACAGCTCACCTTTTTCTGTTGGCTGTTAGTTT